GATCATAGGATGGGACCATGGATTGTTGTGGTATATGGTTTAGGGGTCTACTGAAATAGTGTGGTCCTATGAGTTCAGGAAAACCATGAAATTTCCCAATTCTAAAATGGGGTGTCTACAATTAATCATTTAGAGAAAATTAAGAAATAACCCCAAGACTACACTTTCTATGCAACTTACCCTCAGCTTAACTTTTTCTCTCACTTTTTTCCCAAAAACGAAGTTTCTATGCAAATACCGCCCAAGGGAAAAAGTTCATTTTTTTATATGAAAATGCCCTTCCCGTACACAAAAATCAATTTGGCCAGATTTCACGTTAACTTTAAGAGCACATTGCCGAAGCGAACCATTACAGTGTTGGAGAGCTTGATGCACTGCTGGAGCGCACATACACAATGTCGGAGCGCATCATCCATTGCCGGACTGCACTTACACATTGCTGTAGCCCTGGGACTCCAGAGTGTTCCATTGTCAGACCGCACTTACATAGTGCTGAAGTGCTGTGATTCCATAGTGTTCGACTGTCAGAGCGCACTCTAGAGTGTTCCACTGCCGGACCGCACTTACACAGTGCCAGAGTGTCGTGATTCTAGAGTGCTCCACTACCAGACTGCACTTACACAGTACTGGAGCACTATGATTCTAGAGTGCTCCACTGCTGGGCCGCACTTACATAGTGTCGAAGCACTGTGACTTCACAGTGTTCCACTTACGCAGTGCTAGAGCGTTTGATCCACTGCTGGAGCGCACATACACAGTGTCGGAGCGTCGTGACTCCAGAGTGTTCCATTGCCGGAGCGCACTTATGCAGTGCCGGAGCTCCTGATCGACTGCTGAAGTGCACATATACAGTGCGGAGCACTGTGACTCTAGAGTGTTCCACTGCCGGAGCACACTTACACAGTGTCGGAGGGCTTGATCCACTGCTGTAGCCATCAATTTTAATTTTTTATTTTTCTTTAGGGTGGTGTTACATGTTAGCTAATAATAAGGAGAACTGGAGTTACGTGTTGCTTTTAAGTGGTAGTGACATTGTTTTTAAGTAGCTTGGGCTGGGCCAAAGAAATTGATAGTTATTTCATAGAGAGATCAGGCGCTGGATTCAAGGAGATAGTAGAAGAGAGAGAGAGAGAGAGTTGGACTTGGGCCAAAAAATCCTTCGAAGAGGGAGACGGAGAGAGCTCGGGCCGGTAGAGAGCGCAAGAAAGAGGGACGAAGCTTGGGCCGTGTGTGTGTCTGTGGACTGTGGGTCCTCTTGCAGTAAAAAATTATGTCTCGTGGAAAAGAGGAAAGAGAGAGAGAGGCGCGGGTATAGGGTAAAGTATGCGAGGAGAGAAGGCATGAGTAAAGGATAAAGTAAGGGTAGCTCTACCTTTTGTTTTAGTTTTTGGGCTGATTGGGGGTATTTGCTAGGAAACATTGTTTTGGGGAAAAAAGTAAGAGGAAGAGATTAGTTGGGGGTAAATTGCATAATAAGTTTGGTCTTGGGGGTTTTTTTTTTTTGACCCTTCATTTAATTTGTTTCATAGATAATCATCTGCACCATTTTTAAAGCCATATAAATATGAATCTATAGCCAAACTATAAATTCAATAATTCATTATTTACCTCCTAAACCAGCAAGAACCTATTATTACTCAATATTTACATTCAAAATCCATTTGATAACACCAGTGAGGGGTTTAGTTCAGTCAAAATCGTTTCAATTACTAGTCAAACTAAATTTTAGAAAATAAAAGAACAAATAGATATATTAGATTAAAAATAAAATATGTATTAAACATTTGCCCTTATTTCATTTAGCTCGTCGAACTAATTAAAACCGGCTGATCCAGCCATCTAGAATCGATCACATATTAGTTTTAACAAGTTTTCAACTAAACTTGCCAAGGCGCTAGCCTATTAGTCGAACCACCGGTTCAATCAACCGTGATAATTGCGTAGTGATAACTATCCTCGAATCTGGGGAGTCATGGTTAGTTTTTTGTTTTTGTTTTTTGATAAATTAAGAGAAAGTTTTAGTCCTTCATTGTATAGTGACAAACTTTTCTTTGGCTTTATAAATGAGAATTTTTCTTAGTCTTACATGGCTCGGAAGAGAGAAAGACTTGGGCTTTATATAATTTTTTACTTCTATGCATATTTGAACCTCATATTCTCACAGGCTCAAATCAGCCCAGCTGAAACCCCATATAATTTTTTGCTTCTATATTCTCACATGGTTAAGCTTTTAACATATTCTCTCATAGTAAGGCTTTAACATATGGATTGTATACCCTTTATATTTAATACAAGGTGATCATTATTGTTACTAGTCATTAGACATCTAATTGTATGGCTTAGGGGACAACACAAAATCCAATAAATTTAGTTTTTGAACTTTAAGACTAGTAAACAACACATTCACAACTATCTGATTTAAAAATTGACGGATAAGAACAATCATGACCTACTCTTATTAAAAATAAAAGGATTCCATACAATCAGACTATTTATCATTGGTACAAAGAGGTCACAATTACTTCCAACCATTTGATGCAAGATATGAGAGCTTGGGTGCGTCACAAAGTTTGAAAAATTTTATTTTAAACTTTGAACTTGGTGAATATAATAAGAGTAATGATCTTATGAGACCCTCCCACATAAAAGAAAGACCTATGTGATATTTTATCGGGGAATACATTTCTTTTTTTTTTTCTCCCCTTTCTTTTGGCAAAAGATCACGTACATGTGGTGTCTTTATTATAATAAGATAAATTTCAAAATAAAATCAACATAACAATAAAACCAAGATCTTAACAACTTGATGCCATTGAAACAACTATGCACTATACTTGAGAATAAAAGACAAGAAACAAAAAGGAAGAGTGTCGGAGATTACCTCAATCGGGATTATTACACCCCACACCGAGTCACCACCATCCGATGACGCGAGATCAACGGTCTAGCTTCAATCTCGAACAGAGAAAGTAAATTTCGATCAAGCCACACCAATGGAACATGAAACCTTTTGATCACAAACTCAAATCCTAGGTGAATTCTTTTAGCAACTAATTTGAGAGAGGTGGATTCTCTTTTTGCTAAACCCTAAATCGCTTAGCCGTAAATCCATATTTGAGAGATATGAGAGAATAACTCCATAACCTAAACCCTCAGGTTCTTTCATAATGTGAGAGAGATCAAACATGAGAGAGTGATGTGTGCCCCTTTTTGGGATATAAGAGAGAAAGATGAGAATTAGGTTCAAGAGATAAGGTGTAAAGATTTTTGGCGGAAATAATCTCTTTTTATAGGATTTGAATAAGATTATGGTTTCTTAGGGTTTTTTTTGCTTGTCTCTTCTTATGAGATTGAATATAGACCGTCAATCAATGGTGACTTGTGGGGTGAGAGATCTGAGCCATCCATTCTATAGATGACCCATCAACATTATAGAAGGTGCATGAACCATTATCCCCCTTTTCTAAACCATTTTTCATCAATATATTTAAATACAATAAATATCATGCATTCTAAAAAATTGCACGATCCATGTCACATATTCCATAAGGATATGTCAAATAATATCAAGTAGATAAATACTACCAACTATAGATAAGATAAGATCCATATCAATTCAAATGAACCATATCTCTTTAAAACAAACTTGCTGCAAAATAGATAAAGCCATGGTCAATATGTCGCTTCCAAGATTCGAGTACATGCACAAATCAAACTAACCTTATCTTAAAAGCAAACAAGAGAATCCAAAGAGGGTGGGGTGTGCCTCCCTTTTGTGGCACATTTGGCCCCCACCCACATGCCACATGGTGGGCCCATGTGCACTATAGGCCTCAATGGAAAAAAAATATTATTTTTAAAATCGAATAAAACAATTTAAAATATATATTTGAATTTTTATAACGTTGTAAGAACAATAAC